ATTGCCATGCCCCCATTCTTTTTTCTTCCCATTTTTTAATTTTGAAAATTTTGAGCATTCGGTTATTGGAAATACTGTTAAATAATATATGAATTTAGTGTTTTCAGGATATTATTAGATACGATAAAGTTTTAAAGAGAACTTTATTCAAAGTTTTATTTAAAATGGAAGTTCATTTTATTTTGTGATGATTGGTGATAAATTATTTCAACGAATATTTGTTCATTTGATATTGCTTATTTAATTTTAATTGTACTTTGTTTAAACAAAAGTATTGGATGATCGTTGTTAAGGTTGTTCAGTTTTAATTTTTAATCGCGATGTTTTGTTTCAAGCTTACGGAGAAGCTAATTAAATTACTTTTATAAATTTTCAAATTCTTTTCCTCAAAAGCAAAGTCCACTCGTGATTTTCTTTCCAGTTTTTCCATTTACAATAAATTTGCATTGAAAGGTGTATTGAATAATATAATGCAATAAAGTCGAGTAGAGTCGTGGTTGTACGTACTATATATTGCAGTAAAAGACAGTTCTTTCAATTAAAATATTGTGTGCTATTTGTCGCGAAATGAACGAATATTAAATACAATAAAATGAAATAATTAATGTTCTTAACTCAAATCACTTAACTCAAATATATATTTTTCTGAATTTTTTTCTCTTTATTTTGGTACTGAAGTTTGCTTTAAATTCATATTTCGTATCAAATTGATTTTGAATTATTAACAACCACTCTGACTTTTATAAAATTTTATTGTTACTAATGTATCTTCTTTCCAGCTATTAATTTTTCTTTGTCTTTATCTGGATTCAATTAATCAGTTTCTGTTACAGAGAAATATCTTTATAGGAAGTATGAAATAATAATATCGAATAATCGACTGGAAGAAGTGTAATATAAAATCTAGCGTCCATAAATGGAATTCAATGTATCCAATTAAGTAAAACAAGGTGAAAATGATTGAAAAGGAAAAATGATTCTTATAAGTGGTAATATTTGAACCATACTATTTTCAAAAATTGTATTTAATCCTTTTCTGTTTGTTTCAGGCAGGTTGTAAATTTATGATTAAAGCTACATGAGCCTCATTATTTTCTTAAATTATGTTTAATCCTTTTCAGTTTTATTTCAGGAAGTATTCTAGTGAGGACAATAAAATCAACAAATTCATTGGACTTATTTATGTATATGGTCATCAAGATATAATCGTCAAACACTGTAGTGTTTAATTAGGAAGCGTTAGATTTAAGCGAATTTTTAATATAATTACGAGCGCTCGTTTAGATAGGCATTCTTAGTAATATAAGTATGTAGGACAAATATGCAATTGCATATTTATTAATTACAGATCTGTAATCAAAATCAAAATTAAAAAATGTTGCGATAGGAATAAAAAGCAAAAATCTACGTAAATATATGTATAGATAAGTAGATAGGTAGGTAGTGAATAAAAATAATGCTCCTTTTGTTGTTCGTTTGCACAACAATCAAAAACGTTTTGCAAATGTACATCAAGAGGATGATGGTATTGAATAAAAATAAAAATTTGCATAAATGGAGGGTGGATGGGATGAGGTAGGGCGGGTCTCCATCCGCAGCAACCTCCCCGTGGTGAGACCTGGGCAATCGTTATTATTTGATGACTAATTAATAACTGTATCATTATTTCTATGGTATATTTATTAATTATGCAGTAAATAATACGAGCGAATTGGCTGCGAAAATGCTTTTTTTCTATTTAATCGCTGTTATATTTTTTTCAGGAACTATGTCTTTAAGATTCTGAAGCGTGCCACATTGTAAATACAATTTTACGGAAAGAATAATGAATGCATGGTAAGTATTGTTTAATTATTTACTTATACATATAGCATACATGTGTCATTTAGGCATTTGCGAAAGGTAACGTAGTATAGCATGCCGTTAGTTGGATGCAATAATTCAGGTGGCGCTTAAATCAGTTTCTTCGATCACAGATGGCCTGTTTGACCGATGCGGAATTCGGAGTTCAGCCTCGACGCTTGCATCACCCCATTTAGTTCCTGAAATCATTGTCTTGAATCGTAGAGTGCGCCACAAATTTTCTATTACCGTCAAAGTGCGCTAGATTGTTGCAGTACGAAATGTTTCGCATAAAATAGATCAGATAGCGCTCGCGTTCGAGGCGCAAAAGTTAGTTTTGCTGTTCAACGCCAGGGAGCACTGACGGTGTAAATTTGAAAAGGGTAATGTAATAAATATATTATAAAACTATCTGACATAACATTTTCAATATATTAAATCAATTACATTTGAATGATATGAATTTGTCTTGTACTATTTCATAAATTTATAACCCATTCAACGAGACGAGTCAGTAAATGTAAACAGATTCACGTGCTCGACGCAGGCCGCCGCACTGTGCTTCGGTCTTGTGTCGAGCACGTGAATTTTTTAATTTACATTTACTGAATCATTTCCTTGAACGGACCATAGTAGCTGTAGCATTTTGATTAGCATCGTAATTGAAAGAAAGATCGTGTAATCAAATAGCGGTTTAATTATAAAAGAATAATCGTTTATCCTAATTTAGCTCCAGAATAAAAGTATGTATGGTAGAAGCTTATATAATTAAGTATAAGAAAAAAGAATCACCCCTTTTAATTTTTGTAAGTTTCCATAATTTGAACATATTTCAAAGTAGATGATTAATACTTATTCTTCTGCTTTTTCATGAACTTTGTTCTTTTCTTACTTATACCGATATACAGTAGGCTTTGCTTCTTTAAACTTTCGCCCCGTTTTTCCATAAATATACCGTTTAATTGTACCGAGCAAACTTAACGAATTAAAATGGCGTAATTCGGTGTTGGCGAGGGTGGCGAGGGTGGATTAGGGTGTTCAGCTGGTGGGGATGAATATACCATCCTGTGTCAGGTGTTTCTACCACGCGGCCGGTTACATTCTCTTCAAAAACAGCGCAGGTTCACGTGCTTTAGTAACAATTTCACCCGCGAACCTCTCGTGAACGCATCGATCGGAGATTTCGTTAACAGTGATCTTTTAATTTGTGACGGGTACCCAGGATATTAATATATAGTTTATTATTTATTAAACTTTGAGAACACATTATCCATCGGCTTTGGAATCAAAATAGAGTGATTGTTGCACATATATGGTAAGTGTTCATCGTATACAATTACTGCTCAGCCAATTAGGTTTTAAATTACCGAATACTTCCGGCGTAATAACATCATGCCAATTAATGTTCCCCAAACGCTCTTAGTCGCGCTGAATATTATTCACTGAAATTTAATTTCGTCCCGTGAAATGCAACGAATTTCTAGAACAGGTTGTTGACTTAATAAAGACTCCGCCAGTGAATTGCCCTGGTTCGTTGGTTCGTGTGCCAGCATTCAACCAACTGTTCACAATGCGACCAATTTCTACCCCCAACTCTTTCGATACTCGTCCACCACGAACGGCACAACATTTAAAAAGCCGAGCACAAAATCATCTTATCGATACCAATTTCGTTCGATCACAATCTACCCTGACCGTCTATAGATTTTGGGACGTGTTAGATCAAAAAAGGCTAACAATTGATATTTTTAATAAAGTTAAGATAACTAGTCTGGCCTGGAGAAAAATTCGGTTACTCGAAAGCTCGTGTCCTCTTGAATTCGATTGCCTAGAAATAGGGTATCGTGGAATCAGATGCGGTAGGATCAGTTAGGCTGCGCTGGCAAACGTAATATAGATTTAGGTTAAACGTTTTATCGATTGGCGAGGACGAGTCCGGAGGAACGTCGACTCATGCATCGCTCGGACTCTCTGGCGGACACCTGAGCGAATCCTTAACCGGCTAAGGATGTCAAGGAAACGATGAAACTTGCCTAGTAGGCTATCCCGATTTGGCGTCCTTATAGAATCAACTCGTACACAGAACAGCCTTGTTCTTTACAGATGCAAGCCGGAAATCGCGAAGCGGATACACGGAGCCGACGAAATTCTCGCTTCACAGTCCTGACAAAGGTCGTACGCGAGCTAGTTGGCTTCCTTGGCGAGCACCGTTATCGATCTGCTTACTTTCGCGACCTAGAAATAGATAATTCGTATCGACATTTTCGCACGTGTGCCAAAGGATGCGCTTGGAAGTTGAGCGAGTAACCATCTGGGTCCTCCTCGACACCGGCCATGCTCTGAACTTTATTGCCCTTCGTAACAACGTATACGCACGGGTGTCGGTTTCTGGGCTCTTCGATACCCATAAAAGAAGTTGGAAACTGCTCGTAACCCGCGAATCTATCAACTTACCCGTGAACATAGCATATCGATCTTTTCCTTTTTCTTCTTCTTCTTCGAGTCAGACTGTTGAATATTTCCTTAAAAATTGCCATGGTTAGGCAATACTGTATTTAATAGATTAGGTATATTATTTCAGACGAAATTACCATTTTTCATGCAACGCGTTGCATTCATGAAATATCAATCTTTCTGTTTCATCGTAAAACGTGCGGTTATAAAGTTTGCCTCGTTATATTCGACAGAAACGATTTCACGGTTCCCGACTTCTACATTGCAGCGTGTTCGTTTTCTACTATCCGTAAAAATGACATGTGCTTTTATAGCTGTTTTACAGGCACATTAGTTTCAAGACTATTTTTTTTACAATGCCTCTCAATGTTCTTCGCGAACATTAACACTTGCAATTTTGCGCCTACAATATCTTCAAGATCGATTGCTTCCTTTTTCCTTTCTCAAATGGAAAGTATCATTTTCTATCTAGACTATTGAGAACCACTGATATAGTACATTTCCTTGGTCGATCGACGGTTTCTTTCGCGATCACCTACGCCGTTTTATCAAATGATCGACCGTCTTTATCCCGCACACGATCCCCTCCACGTTCACGGGCAAAACGCTTACCTCGTCTCACCTGTCTTCTTAATTTCTTAACCAAGACGCGTCTGCGATTTTCACGCTCGCGTTACACGCCGAGACGGCGCGAAATCGATAGAACACGCGCCGCTACCAGTCCAACAATCACGCGATATAAAATCGTCTTATCTCGATCCCGTTGCTTCAACGAGCCTCCTTTTTTCTTACGATCACTGAAACGATCGTCGCGAAAACGAGTTACGTTTCAGTTTAATCGTGGATCCACGACGATTTGCGTCTTATCGTGACGATAAGACTTTGTGAAAATTGTGATAAACGTGCGTTTTATGATTCTTATCGTTTACTATAGAACATTGTGCGGGCTCATCGATGCCAATTTGGTACCGATGGATATGTCATGGTAATACAATGGTGCACGGTGAATACACAGAGTGAATAATTTTAAAGGCTCGCCACGTTTCGCTTTCACTTGTATCGATAAAAGTTTCTGACGTTTCGAGATTTCAACAAATTATAGTTTGCCGAACCTTTTTATTATCCTATCCGCCTTGAAAGCTATTGTGCTATGAACTTTCGAATTCGTCTATCGCCAAGGTAATCGGCGAAAATATAGGTACAACTAGCGGAGGCGAGCGCGCGTTCTTGTTACGCCACGTGCCATACAGAGATATGTCGACTGTCATGGGGGTCACCGGTGAACGGCACCGTCAATTCTATATACAAGAAGAGAAATTCAAGAAAATTTCAAGCAGTAGGAAATGGATAGCTTTGATTTAACAAGCTTTGATATCAAACACTTATTAATAAGAATTTTTCAGAGAAATTCATTTTTACTAATAGAAGAGGATAAGGCAGACAATTATTTCGCACACGCTTATCGTTGATAGTCTTTTAAGATTCCTTTGCCGTTCTAATCGGCTGAACTTCGCACCACCTTGAGCAACCTTATCGGCGCATACACGAACGTGGCAACGTGTGTTACGTGGTGGTTCACGATGGTGCATCGATCTAACCTGGTGCTAATTATGCACCCAGAATCGAGAACACCGACCCTCTTGCACCTACGGTGATGATTTCCTTATTTTTTCATTCTTGGATCGTCAAAGAGGTTAAACGTTTCTTACTTTTCTTTTTTGCGAACTCAGTCTTCAAAAATCATTCGCGTTAGAAATTGGACGGACAAAGAAAAAGTGAGCAAAATTCAATATCCATGTTTCATGCATTTTCGCGTTTCACTTTTGCGAGCAGTACAGTTAAGCTTGTTGCATTTTTGCACTGTTATCGAACTGCAAACACGTTCTTGCTCGTGACGTTTCGCGTTCATCCACGATAAAACCGCGATACGCTCCTACTTTTACGATAGCGTTAATTGTCGATGACGAAACGCGTTTGTTCGATGTTTACTCCTAAAAAAAAAAGGAAAAATTAACGCCTGAAATACCTGTTTATTAATAAAACTTTTTGGTCGATGCTGTAACACGTTGACCTTTTTCACAGCACAGTGAAAAAGGACGAGTGTAATTGCAATTATTCAGGATATCACAATTTTATTTTCAAGCTTTCCACTTTCTATTTTGCGCAATTGATATAATATCGATGCTATTAAAAATTATCTTCGTTTCTAAAAATTCCATAGACAATTTTCGACTAGCCACGAAAAAAAAAACTTACAATCAAGTATGATAACTTCGATATGGTAAATTCATGTCGCAATGATAAGAACACGATAAGAAAAAAAAATACACTGATACAGTTTAAGTGCGTTTCTAACTGCAACAATTATTGCCACGTGACTTCGTGGAAACACATCGCAATATCACAAATAAAGAAACTTTTGTAAACTTGCCAAAGAATATCTTCAATTTTGAAACTTGAAACATAGAAAGAAAATTGTAGCGTATTATTAAATTTATCGTTCAAGAATGGAAGGTGAGCGATAACGTGGCGCGATAGTTAATTCGACATGATTTATTAATCAAGTTTATTAATTTCACCAAAGCTTTGAATAGTAAAATCAATAGCTATCCGCAAGATTGATATAATTGATCCTTTTATTGTTTATTGATGATAATTTGCCTCTGGGTAGCGACGTTTAATTAATTGCAGGCTTTAATGAGATCACTTCGCAAAGCTAACAACACGATGTTGCTAGCTCGTTATCAGTGTTCATTACGATTCCTTTTTAATCCCTATTGTTTGCTCGCTGATTGTTAAAAAGGGAAGTAAGCTTGGAAATTTTGAAATTAATATTGTGTATCCGTCTAACGAACAATAAGCAAGTTCAGAAAGAACTGGAAATTTGCAGTAGAGGGGATGGCCACTTTGGCACGACCTTCGCTATGGAAGTTTGCTTCGTATTATTGTCGCACAATTAGTTCTATTGGCATTCGGTGTCTGTTCGTCATAATGCGAGTCCATCAATTTGCAATAATCGAAATACAAACGTTTGCAGTAATCGTTGTTGCATCTGAAGCAGTCAAGCGCGACCTCGACGAACCCAGCATCTTTTTGGACAATTAATCTAGTTTGTGTTACTATCGAGCCTATTCAATTTACAATCATCGAGATATAAATGTTTCGAGTAATCACGGTTGCGCATGAAATGATCCAAGTTGATCTGGATGAACCCTGAATCTTCCTGGACAATTAATTCATCGTAATCTGAAGCTTATTGAGAGTATTAATATACAATAATCGAGATATAATCTAACCCCTTGAATCCCTTTGGGGGAAGGAAACAGGACTGATTTGACCAGTTAAGAAACGACTTGGTACCTTTTTAAGTCAATTTATTGAAAAGGAAGTGTACTGGTGTTAAAAATCTTGGCAAGATGACAACGCTGAAGAAGGATGAGAAGAGGGCTTCGAAGAAGTCAAAGAAGGGGAGCCAGAAAGCATCCAGTCGCAGCGTGAAGCCGGTAAAGGAAGATCGTGTAAGGAACAAGAAGTCGAAGGAAGAATCAGGTACAACGTTGGGTAAACTTTACCTCGAATAAACCTATTTTTACCGGATATTATACCCTGCGATTTATCCTCCCGTCTTGTCGTTTCAATTTCCCTTGAAAAATCAACTGTTTGTACTGTCAGGAATTGTATGGTGTATGATGTTTGAGTTTCAAATATTATGGCTTCCATTTCTATATGTAAAACATCAGCATATACAAACATAATTTCGGAAGGTCCATTCCTCATCCAACATTAGATCTGACGAATATTTCTTTTTGTTTCAGATGAACCAGAGAACGGGTCACTGTGCTATAACATCAAAGACGATGTACCGGAAGAGGTGACGGAGAACCCGGTAAAGAGTGGCGGAAAATTCGAACGCAAATCATCGTTTCGTCGGAAACTCGGTGTACTGATAAGACACAGTACCGAGTTACCGGCGGCGATAAACCGGGGTCTGGAACCCATTAAACGTAGTCTAAGCTTTAGCAAAGATTTAAATCGATTACACGAACCCAACAAACCATACAGGGCGCGTGGCGCTCATTGGTACAACAGTTTGGTGTCCTTGGCAGAGGATGAGTGTCTGGATGAACCGGATGTTGCCACGTCGAGGAACAGCGTGTCTGAAGAATTTCTTTCCCCGAAGGTTCAAGTCACAAGGACCCAGAGTCTCATCGACACCACTTCTGTAAGTTTTTTTTTTCTTCTTAAGGAAGGGGATGTTAATTGATGACAGCAAAAGACTTTCTATCATTATCTTATCGATCCGAGGGATCCTTCGATTTAACCAACACTAAGTTATGTAACGATCACCTCGGCAATTAAGGCCGTAATGAGCGTTCCCATCGAATTTGAATAGGATTTTAAATGAATTTCAAATGGAAATCGAGCGTTCAAGAGATTTCAAGCTGGATTTGCATTTATATTTAATATAAAATCCAATTGAACCAACGTTAATAGATCTAAATGGAGGGAAACGTATTAACCCTGTTTATTTTTTTTATCTGTTAATAGTTTTGGAGAGAAACGTCACGCGAAATTTTGTACTTCCGTTCTAAATTCAAATTGACATTTCTTTGGAACGTTTCAGACAGTTTTTATTAGCGGCTTAACTCTTTGAAACTAGACGTATCTTATTTTATTCATAGAAACGTTTGAACCCTTGCAAAAAATTGCCAATCTAATAACATTTAGCTGTTCGATTTCTAATCAATCATCCTGTGTAGTCGAATAAATTTTCACGGGGAAACGTGGCGAGCTGAACGGCTGAAAGAAATATTTTATTCCGATGGTCAAACAATTTTATTGCGCATTGCGAATTCCCCGTTTATCTCGTATTTCAATTTATAAGCTAAACGACTCGTACGTTCGTATTTGACACAAGAGGGTTTTCCTGAATGAGATCGATTCGTTCGAATGTTCTTTCTATTTAAATTTTAATTAATATGCACTTTAATTTCAAGTCATTAATTATCCGACATTTGTTTACGATAGAAAACAACATACGTAACGTTAGTGAAGGAAATTAAGCGCAATGCATACTTGTGTTAATTAATGAACGTCGAGTCCGCAATTCGGATTGAATTTCTAATTTCTAAAACTCTTTTACGCTTCCACTAAAAAATTATTGAATACCTACCAGAAGCAGGTAAAAATCTGAAAAAATTATTGCGACGACCCCATTCGATGAAACAATAACATTTTCTATAGATAAGACAAGTCGAAGTTCGATAAGACATAGCGGAGATAAATTAATGTCCAATAACTCATATATCTTGTGTGATATAATAACAGTTGAAACGAATGTCTTATAAAACGGCGACGCTTTTTTTCGTTGCCTCAAATCGTAATTAAATATAAGTACACTTTTAGGCCAGCAGTCGAAAACAAGGTGAAATGTGAACCGACCTTAAGTCTGCTAGCCGCCTGCTGGAAACATGATCAATAATTTTGCCCTCGCTTCGCAAGCTGGCCCGGGATCATAAATATTTGGATTTCAGACTGGAAGAACGCCTATCGTGGCTCGTATAAAGAGGAATCGTGAAACGATCGAAGTCAGCCATTCTGCAATTTTTTGTTCAACCACGTGTAATGTAGGAAGCACATTAAGCGGATGAAAGTATCCGTACCTTGCTGATATACAGTTCAGTACGACGCGACAGGGCAAAAGAGATATCTGCTTGAACCATGTTAGAAAAAAGTTGTTGGATCAATGTAAATACAGTGTGCTGTAAAGAAAAAATTTTTGTTAAATTTTCTTCAATATACAGGATTTTGGAAAAAAAAAAACGGTTCAATATTTACGGGGTAGATAGTAGTTACCGGATGGAACTGAATGAAGAATATATAAATAGAAATTAAGTATTTCAGAGATAGGGATCAAGAAGGCAACCTTCGTTAAATATTTGCCAATATACAGGATATTGAAAAGAACCGCGTTCGAGATTTGGCAAGTAGATGGTATTTATTGAACCGAATGAAAAATATGTAAAAAAGCATGAATTGTTGTTGAGTTTGTTTTAAGATTTTCTTCTAGAGACACGTGGGTGCAGAAATCTCTGCTAAACACGGATCAATATGTAGGACCTTCAAAAAGAGAAGGGTTCTTAATGAAACTTATGTAAATAATATCAACCCTTCCGGATTTAGAGATGAAGACAATTTTCATTAGATAGTCACGAATATAGCTATTTCATTTAAATTCCATGCGTCTGTTCGTCGTGTAATTAGAATATTGAGCTTATGTTATTAAATTGATACCCTTTAAATTAATCCCAAATATCCTGTTGCATATACGATACCAGAATAATCCTTTGTTACACGTATAATGCAATTATAAACTTAAAAGTATAAGTGTAATGACGTAATCAAGCAACCTTGCGACTGTAGGATCCTGTTTACTAATCATTCATTACTCGATTCAGTATTTACCACCTAATCCTCAGGAACCCTTTTTATGTAGAACACCCTGTAGAAACGATTTTCAGGCAAACGGTAAATCCTCCTCGACTTCATTCTAGCACGAAACAAGGATTCTCTATCTTGTCCGCGGTGCATCCTTTATCAAGACGAACTTATACGGGACTACCGTTTATTTCGAACCCTTTCTCGAAACGGACTTAATTTTCATGTTCATTCAAGCATTAAGATTCGATGTAAAAGAAATTGCATTCTCCAACAGGCTAGAAGTCCAAGGCGACGGGTGAACGAGCTTCTGAATCGAACCGCTCCTTACGGACGACACAGCGATCACTATGACTCCACTATAGGTAATTGAATTTCTGTTTCCATCCCTAATACACTGGGAATCTTGAAGACGAGATGCTGTCGTACAACTCGTACAATATACCGAGTGGGTCACTAGAACTTTTTTTTAAATCATTTAACAATCGTATCATCTTTTTTTTCAGATTTGAGTAAACCACCCTGCGAAGCTAGTAGCCTTCCGGTTCTGAGCCATACTTGCAATAATGAAAATTGCAGCGTACCTCAGTAAGTAATGTATCATTCGTAATGTAGTTCGCAATGTAAGTTGTTAAATGTTACTTTAATTTTCGTTTCTTTTCAATCGACAAAACACATGATCTTACGAGCAGATCGACTCCTACGGGGGATGGTCTTTGCTATCTAAAACTTTCAGTTAATTAAAGTTCTTTTCTTGGCTTGTTGGTGTTAATTTTGTTTAAAAGAAACTGGGTAAATTACATCTTCGAACCGCTTGATTTACGGGAGTGCAGACAGGTTTTCTCGTAACTCGTGTTTCGACGTACGAGCTTTCTTCACGTGCGTCGGTGAAATATAGAAGGATACAGTCTTACCTAGCGCCATTCATTCAAGAAAAGATGCTTTTACTGACGAAAAACGGAGAACTTGGTGAGAATTTCACCAGTGATCGATACGTCGCGTCGTCTTTGGATAGAAGCCGGTATCAATCTCGGCACTTTTCAATGCAGAAAATTTAAATTGAAAAAGCTGAATCATCGTATATTCGATAATTATTATTGATAGTCGATATTTGAACCGTCTGTAATTCAAATTTTCCTCATTTGCGAAAACTACCGATTGGCATAGGAAAACACTTGTTAGAAAGTTGAAACTTCTTGTATAAATCGTGGCCAGTTCCGATACTCATTGCAAGCATGCCTTCCACTTTTGTTTCAAGATGCATTGCTTTCCGCACCCCGTTCTCAGTGAACCATGAAGTCATTCGTTACCACTTCGAATCACCTTGCACTACAAAAGCATAAGTTTACGTGCCATGCACGTAATTGGTTCGACCCAGTTACTAACAATCCCGAGAAGTACCCGGGCCGCGCTAGCCCTGAGCAATTCCGGTTATTCTTTCTTTTCGCAGATAGGAACGAGAAGAACGTAGCATCCTTTCCTCCGCTCTTCCTTCCTTTTTCTTTTTTTTAAGTCGAACCGAACAATAACGTACATGCGAGTAGTAGAACTCTTTTCATTTTTCATTCTTTGGCCTCAAAAAGTTATCCGTGGAATTAAATTTAGAAATTCGAAGAAGGGTTGAATATACAGACGCGAGTAAAGTATGCACCTAGGATACGAACACTTAATTTCCTCTGAAAGGATTTAGAAGGAAGAACCGGATGGAAGGAAACGTTTCTTCCTACCCAATCTCGATAATGCTTAGCCGAGTTCTCATAGAAAGATACACGTGTGTGGTTAATGTTTCATCTCGACACCAGCAAAGCTTTCGAGTCGAGAAAATATTTTAATCAACGAAAGATCGTCCTTATGAAACACAGACTAATATATGGTACACACATACCCACGATTCGTTAGATGTCTTTTTTTCAATTCATGCCTAACGCATTGACGAACGAGGAAAAAAAGGAATCCTTGTCTTATTCTTCTCGTCCGGTGAGATTTATGCCATGGCGAAATTAAAACCCTCAGAGAAAGGTTAAATACGAAGTATCTTGAGATCGTTTCTACGAGACTGCATGTACTCGAAACGTGCAGCTTCTTCGTTTGCATATTTTCTCTGGATCGAGACTAATTATCAAGCGATAATTGGTTCTCCTTTTAATTTCAATGGAACAAGTTTTTGAGTTAGTCGGGATTGTTTAGATGAAGTTAAACCTGGCACGATTTCATCTTCGTTTAAATCTTCAAGTTGTATTAATTAAGATTCAAGCTGGTGACACACCGTATGCGTCTTACAGGGAATGCATGTATAAATTCAAATTCAAAATAATTAATGTGCAGATTTCTGCTCTTACGAAATTTAAGAATAATCAAATGCGCTCGGGTCTCGAGTTTAACACGAGATAAATCCACGTGATGAAACCGCGATTTCATTTCCATTTATTTCCTTCACAATATTCCTTTTTTAGTTCCTAACCAACATGAATTCCAGTTTATCTAATGGAAGGATGAAACTCTCTCTTCACATCTTGCATAGCAATTTACTAGATTCACCTGGAATCGCGAACCATGTAATTCACGATCGATCGAGCTATTAATCACCAACGCGAGAAGTTCATCAGCGTTCGCGTGACAATATCGAAAACCATTTCATTTTCAATTTATCTACCGTCCGTCCATAATACATCCGCGTAGATAATTCGAAAAACGAGAAGGTTCAACTAGAATGATGAATTGCGACGACCACGTTGGTTTCATGATAAATGAGGAGGAAAAAATTTGGATGCTTAATTAACAGCACGCTGATAGAAACTACGTATACGAACAAAAATATTCGACGTATCATCATTTTTATCTTTCATTTTCTATTCTTGACCCTTTCTGTTTTCATCGAAATCGTAAATTTTTATAAATCGCAAAAGCCTAAGGTATATTAGGGAAGATCTTGGTGATACTCTTTCTTTCGCTCAGAAAAACGTACGTGTGCTGCTGAATATTCCATAATCCTGTTACCTGTCGTTTTATTTATCAAGTACCCCGCAGTTAGTAGAGTTTATATTTATCCAAAGAACTTTTTGTTTCAGCCGTGAATGGGAGCAACAGGTCAGGAGCGAATGCAGAAGCCTGAAAGCCGGTGTTCGAAATTTGTCTCTGCTGCATGTCGGACAATTCTCCGCGAACCACCACAAGGTAAGTGTCTAACAAGCAGTTTAATTAGTTGAACGCTTTCGCCAGCAACGTTTCGTCTATACGCGTTTAGACACACTATCCGCAGGGATTCCTGTTCAAACTTTGATAATAGATCTGAGAATATTTTGCAACTCTACGGGACTCGTCGAGTACTTTACACTCTTTCTGATATACTTGGAAATTAGAATAATTGAAATAAAAGTAGAAATTAATTTATCGTAAATAGTAAAAACACAGAGTGCAATGTAACCGGATGAAGTTACGAGATCAATTAAGGTCACAAAGATAGCTGATAATCAGTGAATTTTAGTAGGAAACGGAACGAGTGCATTAACTTCGCATCTTCGTTAAACAACGAGCGCACAGGTGTCCTCATTAATTAATAGCAAGGTAATCGCAGGGAGTGTCACGCTGGAACTACGTAGATGGACAGCGTTCCTCTGATAACGTACTTAAACTGGGGATCCTTTTTAAGAACATTTAGTCTTGGAACAACGTTATCTCGTGTATAATTAATGACAGAATCATTTTAATGAGTAGGGATAAAATGAAGTTTTAGTATGTTTCATGTAATTACTTTTATGTAATGAAATGGTGTCAAAGTTGATGCAACAACCTAACAAAGTAGAAGTCAAAATCTCTTTTTCGAAAAGCAAAAAAAGGGAAAAGCGTTCTGAGGCTTTGTTGGGGTCTTTTGACTGACGAAGCACGTCTGATGGTGAACAATCGTGGTTTTCATGCGGCGAGGCCGTAAAAAGGAGCCCGCCAGAGGCATCGGCTGCGTTTCAGCCTTTGAGAACGAGCCAAAGATACGTCCTTTTCGTACGTCTATCCCTTTATTAAGCGATTCAGAACCGTCGTTGGCTGCTTATTATTCACAATAATTGTGTTCTGGCTGTCGACGATTCATACTCAAGGAAGAAAGGCAGAGCTTTCACGAAAAGACGTCCTTGCATCGAGTCTGATTCCCCTTGAGCTTTTCACACGTCGCGTCGAGTCAAATGTAAAGAATTTTTACTGAAGGGTTACAATTTTCCCTACCTGTCTGCATGAAATCTAAAGCATAACCTTTTGTTTCAACCTTGTCATAATTTTGCAGCAATGTTTTTAGAATAGAGAGTATTTACTTTGTTGATTTCGTCGTATAGCAAAGATAATAATTGTCCTCTTTATTATCGTGCAGAATTAATTACACCTTTAATTAAAGTAACATTGTAATAACTGTAAAGATGCTTAAGTAAAAGCAATTACTTGCAGCTTTTTGCTTATGACTATTAAAAGGAGACACCATAAAGAACGATATAAAAATGCAGTCAGACCACAATTCAATTTCTTCGTCGTAAATGTTTCAACTGGAAATCTTATTTCGAGCGCAGGCTTTTCGAAACAATACCACGGAGACCAGTGGTGAGAGTCGACGTAAATTGTAATACAGTCGAAGGAAAAATGAACGAAAGAAATTAAAAAAAATTCTAAATAACATTTCGTTGATATTAGATCTCTTCAATTGTTAGCTGCTATTGAATCGTATAGAGCTTATCCGTTTCATTCGCAAGCACCGAAGGTGTTTCCACAATTCTCAAAGTCTTCAGGTTTTATTTGAAAACTCAGCCCGATTGAAGAAACGTGGATTTATCGCTTGGAACCCGTCGATCCCCTGTTGGTCCACTGTTCGACTGCAAATCCGATGAAATCGCGTCGATTTTTCCTCGCTTCGTAAATACAGGAGGAACGGTAGGTCATTAAATTCGTCGAAGAGGAAACACGATCGCATGGAAAGCTTGATGTTCGACCGTCGATTTCACCTCCCGATGTTTTTCTTTTTTCTCTTCTCCCTCTTTTTCCTTTTTTCGGGCTGAGAGTTGGGGCTGGACAATGGGAAACACGGATCGATGAAGAAATTAATGGGCGTTCTCCTTTAATACGGGGCAAAAGGTTGCTCTTCGTTTCATCTGACGCCTCTCGCGAATCTCTGACAACTTTCTACATCGTTGCCACGATTTCCTTTTCTTTCATTTTTTCTTTCAACGTTTTCTTTTTCACTTGTTCTTCCGTTCCGTTTCGTGCTCGTTTCACCGATTTCATTCAATCTGTGCAACGTACTGTGCTACTTATCGCATGTATCGTTCTGATGGAATAGATGTTCGTATCGGTGTAGCAAAGAACCGAACAATTTCAGAGCGAAATTTTTAATCGTTCACATTTTCATGACCGAAGTTGCCTATTCAAAGAGAAAACGATTGCTCTGAATCGTTGTTCGATTCGACGTCTCTGAATAGGATTAATCAATGTAATTTAATTAACGTAAGAGTCAAGCAGTGTAAATATGTAAGTAAAACAGTGAAAAATATCATATTTTTCATATTATCTGTCTGGTGGTCTCAATAAGACCGACCCTCCATAGTCTTTTTAGAATTAAGATGGTAAAAACCACTTTCAGAAGACTTGTTTGTTGATCAACTCGTTAGTTCGAGCGTAACAGATTAACCGGTGGAAAGAAGTTTCGTCTGTCTTGACGTTTTAATGAGCGAAACACGAGAAGACCCCGAAGATAGTTTACTTTACGTTGTTAGATTAAATTATCGATTTCGGCTGATGATACGGTATCTTAGGCCTTTCGAACAAAGATCAACGAAGATTCTGGTATTTGAAACTTTTGATCGCTCTTCCGAAACTTTTCTGTCGAATTGATGCGAAAATAATTCAGATTCTTAACAATCGTCTTTAAATTGTTTCCTCGACAAACCAAATATACTATCTTTGAGAAGAAACACGGTGCTCTACAAAAATTCTCTACCGTCATTATCGAAATTTCTCCCTGCGGAGAAAAAAGAGAAAATATTGCTGGAGGCGTCTGCGAAAAAAAGAAGGCTTCAATTAAAGGAGCTCCAGAATATTTCTCGAGCCCGTTTTCTCACCCCTGCTGGAAAAAAAAGAGAGACGAAGGAGAAGAGAAAGAAAGGTCCGTTAGGTAGCTCGGTGCCAAAAGCCTCGTCCTTCACGACCTTTCTCCCTTCCTTTACGCAGCCAATTTCTGCGTTTCTCGTTCGAGTCGGCCAAACAGGAGGGTAGGAGAATAGTTGACAAGAAGAAGCCACCGGGTGAGGAGGGTGTAGGGGGTGCGAGGGCGGTTGAACGCGAGCCTGAGGGTGGGTTTCGGTGTCCGCGCAGTTTCGAGCCACCCCCGTACGATGAGAATCGGCATCGGAGGGGGTTGGGTCGCTGTTCGAAATGACGGAGGACGGATTTTCCCTCTAGTAGGACGCGCGACCTCAGCCCGGTTAGATCGACGCCGCCCTCGCCCCCGAGACTAAGCGAAACGCGCTCAAACAAACCAACGAACGGAACGCGATCACGATTCCGCAACGGGCTGTAGCGCTTTTAATCAAATCGAAATTCCATCATTCAGCGAATCTATTAACCTTGTCCAAGTTCTCTTACAAGAAAATTCCTATCGAATGAATATAGAAAAGAAGAGACAGGGTGGTAATTCTTAGTGCCGGTGAGGTCCTTCTTCTTGTAAAGTTCCTCTGAATAAAAAAAAAAAGATGAAGAAATTAATAGAAAATTAATCTTGTCAAAAAATTGTACGGCTTAGCGCGATAACACCCCTTCGAATCAATGGAAAATTAAGTTTGTTAAGAAATCGCTGATTTAAACGAATAGAAACAGTAACAGCATAGTAAAAGAACAAGTTCTTGGTAGAATTGAACGAATAGAGCTTCGATTGATTTAAAACGATTGAAATCGGATTGGAAGGAAATAAAGGGAATTATTAGGTCACCGGAAATGACCACGTCTGTCTCGCGTACGAGGACCGATCGCGGTGGTTGATTCGGAATCGAGTCACGAGCAAAGGACCTTTCCAAAGAGATAACCCTTGGATTTCCCGAGATGAGAAGGAAACGTATGAAAAAGTGCAAAGCATCACGATTCCAGCAGGCGTAGGAGTATCGAACTGATGACGTAGAGAAGTAGAGGGACCGGAAGTAGCGGAAAGTCTCGAGAGAAGGGCCGATTGTCGCTGCTGGGCGGGAATTTTTTGATCGAACCTGATCGATTTCATGTCGAAGGAGAGGATCTAGCGTCGATGAAAGTCGAAGGTAACGTTGCATTTTGCTTGAATCGATCTTGTAGGAACTTGGTACGGAAAATCGAGTCTCTGTTGTCTCTTAGAACCGGATGCTTTCGTGTGGAAGCGCGAAATACGAATGATTTATCTGCTTCGATCGAATCTTGAAACGCTTTGGCGATTTCAAACTCGCTGTTTTATAATCCATGAATGGTTCGCTATTTAGTAAATTTACATTATCAAACTTCAGCGTTGCGTTGACCTCATTTCTTACAAAATAAGTCTTTCGCAAGCAGTGACACAGTCTCGCTGTTATCTTGAGTTTAAATAAAAGAAATCAGACTCCTCGAATCTCTAGCGAAGCCACCTTTTTTATATCACAATGAATAGAACACGACTTGCAAGGTAGAAAAATGTAGATCGCTTCCCAGACCTTCGGAAATCAAACTTTTATATCTATGAGTCAGCTACGAGGATAGGAATTTCCAATTGTAAGGCAAGAAACGTCTTACACGCGAATACACATGAGAATTCCAACTTTTCAGCGATAAAAGTTTCAAATATTGCTTGCATTTTGATTGCAACGATCAGAAACTTTCGTAGCAAATAATACAAGGTGTTTTATTAAAGAATCGCAATGGAAACATTGATATCAGGAAATCTTTATTTGTTTCTAGATTATAGTAAAAACGAAGAAGTAATGTAGCAGGTGTTATCTTAATGTCTGGTTAGGATCAAAGAATTCGCTTGAACAAATGTTTGTCTTGCAAATCAGTTTATTACCGATTCAAATTCAATTCATAACTCCCGACTGGCATTGAGTCGACAACTTGTCAGCTTATTCATGGAAGTAATTGTACACGTTAATGCGCGTCGTTTCCTTAAAATTCCCCAAAGATTGAAAAGCCGTGAAATTACTTCACCAGCT